CAAAAAAAGTGGCGGAAGAAGAGATTCAGCTGATCTGCTATGATCTACTAAATTTTATGTGATCAACTGAAAAGTGAATATTGCAATTGCTTGAAGTGCTAGCTAACCTCGACCGTCAGCAGCAGTTTCATGGCCAAATCTCACCGACGACCACAGCGACGCCAGTATATAAGCGCATGAGAGAATGCATGTCATATAGATTATCACAAATGTATACTGAAAATTCGTGCGTTCATCTGAAAGATGTGACGCGTACACTCCCAAAGCATTTCGAACATCCGAATGCAGTTGATATGCAATGGTGCGTAACACTTCTGGTAGACGACCTGAAACTGAGTTTGCTCAAAATTCCAGTTTCACGCATCATTCATCGGTTTTATGCATGTGCCGTATTGCACAAGATGTAACACTATCACTAACACATCAGTTCTACAAACTATCGTGCTGAGAACCGATCAGATTCGCGATGAATTTCACCATTAATATGGTAGAAAACTCATCAGTTTGCTTTATTCAGTCATTCGTTAAGGGAATCGTTGAACTGAGAGTATGTGTAGCGATTTGCATGCTTGAAGCGGGACAGGAACGTGAATGGACCTCCGTTCCAAGCTCACACCACTGACCTTCATAACAAGCCCGTTGACAAGCGATCATATCCAGTTGACAGAATTCATCGATCAGCCCAATTGAATCACCAACAAATCCACTCATTAAACCAACGAGAATCGCTTCAAGAAGCAGAACACCGTTGCACAAAATCTGGATGTGCATGGTCCATCTGGGTAGTCGTTTCACATGTTCATGAGAAACTTTTGTTTCCGGTTTTACTTTTTGATTCTCGGTTTGTAACGATGTGTGGCTTGATAATGGTGCTGCGGTCACAGTTGTCGTTGATGCAGCCGCTGTTAGACTCACCGTACTGTTGAGAACGCTCGGTTCAGTACACGAGTTCTGTGGCAGTTGAGTTTCTAAAATTTTTTATTCTTTCTTGCTAGAATTATAACCGATCTCGATTACTGTTTATTGCATTTTGCTGATCTTTTAATCACACAAAATGACTTGTCTCTAACAAATGCAAATGAAGAGTTCATTTGTTGATGTTTATAAGTAACTATGTTAGATTTGAACTATGGAGGACTCTACAAATCACTAAAAAAGTTTTTCATAGGCGTACAACGCGATGAGGTCAAGATGATTTAGTGCAGTGGTTCTCATGCTCGGGTAATCCATTACCCCTTTTGATGATCTGGCAGGCAGCCGTTACCCCCTTTCCCTATTATCTATGGAAATCGCACACGTTGTGTTCAGAGGACCGTTACGTTCAATATTACTAGCACGTTCATGATGGTAATCGACATCGCAGGGCCCTCTCTTAGACCATTGTGTTCCTCAGTACTGCAATCGAATACGACTGCATGAAAAGCTATTGTCTATGACACTTCAAACTGTTTTGCATGATTCTCATTCTTTTCAGACGTGTTGTATTCGCTCTCATAGCTATCACATGCGAACATCGTTCTATTGATTTGTTNTCATTCACTTCGTCTCAATTTCACTTCACAGTTCAAATCAACTTCTCATTCTTTAGCGTATACTATTTACTGGATACGTTGACGAGTGTTGACAACCGAAATCAACAATACAGCAAGCGAACTGAATTCCTGAATAACATTCGACAGTTAAATGGTCAATTATAGAGTGTATCTGATAGAATGAGAATTTGACTTTCATTGCTGAGTGAAATGAATGAGAAATTAGTAGAAGAGAATACTTTCGGTGATAAAAGCTATGAGAGCGATTGTAACAGCTCGGAAAAGAATGAAAACCGTGTTAGACCCGTACGAGCCAATGATACTCAGAAAATGTGAGAATGAACAGTGTTGCCATCAACTAACCGCATTTACATATCCAAGTTAAAAGAACTCTATCGCAGTGGCGTTCTATCATAAAATATCAACTGCAAGAAATACTAATTTCCTGAACCCTTCCATTACCCCTTCACACCTTCAAATTGTCAAAAATGGATAATATCGCCCCCTATGAGAACCACTGATCTAGTGAACGCAATCAGAAACAAGAGAAGGCAAACAGTCTCTATTGGCCGAAACAGCTGTCGAATCATTGGGCTCAACCAGCTCATAATAACGAGAATTCAAGTGAGCATTCCCTAACCATTCGACTGAATTGCAGCATAACGACAAATCAGTGCCGGTCTGGCTTCAGCATAAGTGAAATCGAGATCTGCGATGCACGATGATGCTTCCTCTCGTGTTGTCTCATAAATCCACATCTTGCGGAAACGTTCTTTAGATTTACGTACATGGTGATCATTCTTTTGCAGATTTGATACTGCAAATGAAACTCTCATCTTGTGAATATTTCAATCTCATTAACTTCCATCCTTGCGCCTGTTCTATCACCGTCATTGACACCACGTTGCAGCAACTATCTCAACTACCATCATTACATCACACCAACGCCTTTGTAACAATAGCTAACATCGATACCGCTTACAAGAATGTCAAATTCAACCCTATCAATGCCACTACCATGGAGAATCTTTATCATAGGTCGAGATTAAGTCTGTTTTCGAACAAGTCCTCAATACAGACGTCTCAAATGGTACAGTACAGATGCTTTCCAGCTCCAAATAGGCTCGAATACGACCAACCCAGGATGGATCCGGGACACTAGGCTGGATTTTTGCTTTTCAGTGCTCAAACGCAACAACAAATTACCTTGAACGAGCGCAATAGTGCATGCTAAAATGACTGTACACACGACTGCGGACGCCATGAAAAAGGGCAATACACGATAGCTTTGCATGCGCAGTGCAATTTCGGCTTGAAGTTTCTCAAGCTTTATGCGTTCTGTATTCACGACCAACCATGGGTTAAACGTCTCCCTATCCTCGACCATATGCGACCCACCTGAAAGCCATCAAAACCCTCTTCATTCAGTTTTTGTGATTGATTCAAAACAAGTAAATTCTCATAATGATCGATTTTGCCAACTCGAATGGAACGTATGCAATCAGTTGCTAGAATGGTTTTAATGCCAAACCTCAATGGTCAATGAAGCTAATTCCTAAGCTTTCGGAAAAAAACCTCGAAACATNTAGTTCTCTAAATCATACCCCAAGCGAACATTGCAAAAAGTAACAGCAACGCTTTACAGAACATCGCATCCAACCGCCTAATGCCAAACACAATCCGTGAATGTACTCCGAAAATCTGATAATTTCAATTTCATTTAATTGAATTTACTTGATGAAATTTACTTGATGCAAATTTCAATTACTTTCCACCTGATGAAATCGGTGAACTGTGAATGTTCTGATTTGATCTGTGCCGGATCGTTCAGATTGTTTAGCTCTAAAGTTCACTCTGTACACGAAAGCTGACCAGCTAAGCTCAAGTTCGATTTTTTTTGCAATGAAACGAAAATTTCATGTTTTATCAAACAATATTTGAACCATATTCTGCAATCAGTTCTCTTCCTTATAATATCTCAATGAGACCAATCAAAATGTGTGCATTCTTGAGAGTTGTTACAGTAACTCGCCAATTGTTCCTTATTTTCTGCAGCCCATCATCGACGTGAATTCAAAATTTATTCTTATTAAGAATTTCAGCAACACAAAACTCAAATATTCGTTGGAAATATCACAGAATTAAAACGGTACACATGCGGAACAAGTGAAAACAGTATGTAACGGTTTATGGGCAATAACAATATGACAATTGAGGATTGATTCAATTAAAAACGTATTACTGGTCGTAACACTTGATGGTTATGATTGAGAAAGACTTGTCAATAAATAATCACTGGAGATAATCGATTAGGATTTAGAAGTATTAATTGCCCGTCCTTTTAAGCATTCCCGCACGTTTTGCAGCACGTATAGCACCAACACCTGTTCATGTAATAGCTTATACCAGGCACTGAAACAGGCACTGGCACACCGAATGGCACCGGTACTGGATTCTCCACTATGATCGTACGACCGCTACACGTTGAACAGGATGGTTTTGGTCCTGATGGTGGTAGAGGGGGTAGTGGTGCTACTGGTGGCGCTGGTGGGACTGGTGGGGCTGGTGGAGGTGGAGGTGGTGGTGGTGGCGGGGGTGGTG